CAAGTGGTCTCTTGAAAGCGATGTCTTACCAGAATGTCACACAAAAAACAACCGCCAGGAGTGTCAGAGTCCCTACTCAAGTAAGTGTTTGAGACCCAGCAGGGTCCAATGAAAGTGCACAACAAGAGTGCACACCAAAGGTATCTAAACAAAATTGATGTACAAAACTTCATAGTGTTCAGAACTGCCAGTAGAAACACATGATGTTGGCGCAGTGCCGTGATCCATCGTAAACGCAGGGCTGGCAGACTGGAAGTGGCCTTGAGCAACCCGTGATTTTTTTAATAGTGTTTCACCATATAGGAGCGACTATTTTTTTTTTGCAACCACCGTCCACAATGAGCGCTCAAGACTTGCTATCTCAACTTCAGTTCAGCCTTGAACACAAAGCCACTTCCAGCTTCGATCTACAATCAGCAAGGATGGGTGCACTCAACGCTAGCGCTCACCATGTGTTCTCCTGCCAGACTCCAGAAGCTGGCTGCCACAGACGGCTGGTCAGCCAAGTTCAAAGCAGTCCTCCACGTAGGATTCAGCGTCATAGTCGACACTCCTGGCCCAAAAAACTTTTGCTTGAAAGCATCAACAACGCTGTATAGTCTTGCACCCCTGTCTTGGCCTGACTGACCCACCGTGGAGATGGTTCCTTGGCCGCATTCAGCTCTGGAACTCTGGCCAAAAAACGGCCACAGAGCAGAATTTCGAACTACTCATCACTGCAAAGGACCACGTGGAAGGGCAACGCACACACTCTGGGCGGCGGGCCCACCCAAACCAGGCATACATTGTACTGTTCAATGGGCCTTGATGAGCCAAGTTCAACGCTTCAAGGCCAACCAAAACATACAACAAGGAGATCTTGACCAGCCTCCGTTGCATTCACCACCATCAACGCTGCCGGCCGCAGTTGCGCAGCTACGAGTAGTCGGTTGATTTCCCAAAATATGAGGACTTCAATGGTACATTCTTTGGTCCTTATGAACGCGCATGTTTAACGATCAATGGGGAAGTGAGGTCTGTGAGCTGCCTCCAACTGAACCGCTAGAGATCTGACACGCATAACATCAAAGACTTTCAAGTATGCCACCCAAACTCGATACACAGAGACATATCCAAAGCAAAGAATGCGGAAATAGGGGTCCATTTTCAGCGCAGAGCTTCTGGTCAGCCACCGGTTAATCTACATCCAGGACAGTCGGGTCATGCTCCTTGGCTTCCTCCTCCTCAAATTCCTGCTGGTCGTCTCCATTGAAATCAACCTCCAGCGGGAGCTCCATAGGTTCTGTCTCGACAGGTACTACTTCAGGCAATTCTGTCGGCTCTACAACTTCAGGACCAGCGCCAGCATCCTCCGGGTCATAGCCAAGTCCAGCTCCTCTAGGTTTTTAGGCGACGCAGCACAACACAATGCTGACAATGACCACGTACACAAATTGACCGGAAAAAACTGCTTCAGTTAAATTAATACTGCCCAAACCCACGCTTCGGTTTCCTGCGCTGTACTCAAGTGTGCTCTTCAGTTTCGCCTCAGAACATTGTTCATATCTGCAAAACATAAGACGCCACAGGTTAGAACAAATGAAAAGAGCCGGCACTTAGGTGGGAACGACGATGTTCTGCACATCTACGCACTTGTCTCCCCTCACCAAGTGAGCGTGGCCAATTTCCTGCAAAGGAAACAGCTTATCAAAAAAACACACAAGAGCAAGCAAGGCCCAAACACAAATCTCTTTCGACTTGTGCCAGTCATAGTGCTTTCCTCCCGCCTGCAAAAGAAACTAAATTCCAAATTGCTCAGCTGCCGAATGCGGTAAGGTCCCAGGCAAGAAAATTAAACAAGCCGACTGGCCTTGATCATCTCCCAGCCATTCACCTTCACACCGAACACACCAGATTTCTTGTAATAATAGACCTTGCTGATCCTTCTGTCAGCATCATCGACGCCGACACCTGTGCCAAAAAGTGAACTGAAAACAAAACTGTTTTCACTGTTCGTTGTAGATCATTGTTTGGGCCTACAAGCGAACCTAGCCTTCAGCGGCCTTTGCCTTCCGCTTCGGCTTGGCTTTGGGCTTGGCATTAGGTGCCTCTACGATACCAATGGTCGCATCTTCACCCCCTGACGCCGTCGACTTGGCTGCCTCCTTCCCTTTAGCCTTTCCTTTCGCCTTCGCTTTTGCACCTGCCTTCGCCTTTCCTTTCGCCTTTCCTTTCGCCTTTCCTTTCGCCTGTCCTTTCGCCTTCGCCTTTGGGCTGACCTTTGGCTGAGGAGCTTCTGGCTCAGCGGTTCCAGACTCAGTCCCTGGTTCAGGGGCGGTGGCCTCACTCTCATGGGCTGGCCTCTTCAACGGGTTACGTAAAGCTGAAGGTCTTTTCATGACCTTTTTTGGCGACCTCAGCTTCCTCGGGCTCCTCACGCTCCTCGACCACCATGCTCTTCGGCTGTGGAGCCACCTGTCGCCCCGTCAATCCAAATTTAAAATATAAAATATCACATCAACACCATCCCCGAACACCGACAAGCAGCCCCTAAGCAAGAAAGAACCGATGCCACGGCGCCTCCTCCTCTGACGCCGTCAGGTCAGCTACAGGTGGTAAAATTCCCATATGCGTTCTGTCTGACCTAATAGCAAGCTAGTTGGACTGCTGCGCTCTTGTTGAGCCTGATGGTTATGAACAACATGCGTTGCATCGAACTATAGACGAGAAAATGATGAGAACCCGGCGCTGGCCCATTCAAGTCAAAAAACAAACACCTTTTTTTTAAAGTTAGGGGTGGAAATAGTTAGAGTACGGCACCTATGGCGCAATCATCCTGACACGTGTGTTTGCTGCCACTCTCTAAGGACATAGAACTGCCAGCTCATTCGCAACACAGCACGAACGCCGTGTCAAATCTCAATTTGGCTTGCTTCTAGGACCGCCTCCTACTTTTCCCATAAAAAATTGAACCAATGTGAATGAAGCCGACAACAAAAGCATTTGCAGGAGGAAGGGCGGTCGTGGCAAGCCACAGGCTCAAGATTGAAAAATCACCAGCCTACAAAATGTCAAGATAACTTGACCCAGGACTGGGGAGGAATGACAACAGTCGCGGTCAAGAACAGCTTCGGCTTCGTCGCCAGGAATTTTGCTTGTCCGGTCCCAGTCTGGGTTTGGACCTGGCCGCCAGCAGGGCTAGCTTGAATCAAAACATCCAGTGAACAAAGTTGGAAGCCACGTGCCTCCCAAACTACGTTGGCGATCTTGTTGCGGGGCAACTTGTTGAACTTTCCGCAGTACACGGCGCCGAAATTGGCATGCCTGCTGTTTGTCAAAATACAAAAAATATTCAATGCAAATGCCGCAGCAGTCTGCCAACACTTCATTTCTAAGAGCCCCAACGCCTCAAGACTGCATCGTCGGATAGAGCTGCCGGTTTGAAACAATTGGTCTTGCCGCTGGGAGTGGGCGAGACAACATACCGATACGGTACAGTAATGGGTTGCGCACCTTCTTCAACCTCAGGTCTTGCCACAAAACAAGTTGCAATCGAAAAGTCCGGTAGTTTCTACTGGCAATACTACTTGGGAACACAGTATCTCTATTTGTGCAGTGTGCGTCATAAACCGAATCGAATGACAGGCGGAAGCTGCTTTGCAGAAAGCATGTGATCACGAAGCTCAAAGTCTGCAAGGCCATGTATGGTCACTTGCTGGTGAATGAAGTCGGCCAAGCTCAAGAGCTTCCGCTCGGTGCTGATGACCAGCGAAAGATCATCTGCCAAACGCCACGGCAAACAGTTGGTTTCTGCCTCGCCAGTTCCAGCAACAATCCGCTCCTCGAAAGAACCAACGTTGAAGCCACACAATTCGCAACCACTCAAGGTCAGATTGTCTCCCTCCGATGGGTTTCCAATGAACAGGTCCATAGACGTTGTCACGAACAACGACGGGCGCCCTTTGGAGCCTTCAACCCACGCCAACCTGGCACCAATCTCAAGGAGGAAAGCAAAAGGAATCTACAAGAAATATATAAGCATATATATATATATATATCTATCTTATTGCACAACAAGACACAGCCCCACTCACCTACAAAACACAATTCCGGGCCTTGTATGATGGAAATCAGACGCGCGGATGATTGGAGGGTCAACATCTCGGGTGAAATCAACAGGACGCATCCCCCCTTCAATGGAATAGTCCGGTCGCCCCCCCGCTCGTGGAACAGCAAGCGGTCCGCTTCCAGCGACAGCTGAAGTGCTGGCTGCATCAGGATAGAGGGCCACAACCTCGTCTTTGAACGCTTTCAGCTCTTGGTACTGCGCTGTGCCAGCCACAAACCTGTCAAACAAGCTGTCCGGGAATCGGCGTACTCCGTTCGACCAAGACAGAACATCCAAGGAAGGGGCAGGCAATTCCTCATGCTCCCTTCGTTTCGGCGGAGCGTCACCACTTGAATCCCAAAGGTCATAGACCTGTTGCTCAATCATAGTAGTTGCATCTTGGCCATCCTTGTCAAACAGCAGCCCACAATACTTCACGACAGGCTTTCGGACCTTGTCGACAAGAAGGCGCTGCACCACAGCCCGCCCCATTTCACAATACCTCACAATCAATATGATGGGCGCTTCAAAACCCAATTACAGTTACACCGCCAAACCGTGAATCACCCACCTAGCAAATTAACTGCTGCCATAAACTGTGCCATTGACTGCCACCACGTGACTTGTTTGGCACCACATCCAGGACCACAACCCTGTCATGCTCCAGCACATCTACATCTTGCAGAATCTGCTTCAGGATCTCATTGAAAGCTGGCACACCCTTCCTCAGAAACACCCAATAAAAGAAGAATTCAATTCCCAAAAACTGGAAATGACCACGTCGTCCAACAACTAAAAATAAAAACATACAACTATGAAAATTGTATATATACAGAGAGAAAGATATATTATTTGTTTGTGCGTGGCAGGCATCTGTTCGGTTCGAGCTCCAGGGGTTGGGCGAACGTCGCTGTCATAGCCGATCATGTCCGAAATCTTGATCAAGGGCACAGGCCCCAGTGTCTGGGAAACCCATGCGCTGGAAGCGGTCCAAACATTCTCGCTCTGCGTGTTGGCTGTGGTGAGGAAAAGGGCTTGCTGCGCAAGCTTGCGTTTGTCGTTCCCTGCAGAGTTTGGCTTGCTGTACGTGACCGAGGTGTTAGTCAAAATGTCCAGCCCACCGCTGGCCAGCCCATCCTCCAGCGAACGACGGTGCTTCAGCAACGCTTGCCAATTGATAGCTTGGTGGCTCAAAGGCAGAAGAGCAAAGCCAGCATTGGTAGGACCGAGGTTGACAATGCTCTTGACAACTTGGAGAGCGCTCTGCAAGTACGTGGCGTTTGATGGCCATACCGTGCAGTCAACCATAGTCAAAACCAGCCTCATTTTTGTTTGGTTGCAAAATGGTTTATAGAAACTCTGGCAGTTTTTTGGATGGCAGGTTGACAGGCGAACGCGCGCAATGAATCACACGAAGACTGCCGAGGAACGTTCGGCCATCAGAAGCGCCAGACACCCTGCTAAGGAAACGTCCAATTTCGGGCATTGCAGAATTCATGCTCTGGTCGACTGGGATCAGCTTGCAATGAGTTTCCAACCAATCGCGGGTCCACTGTTGCCCGTTCCTGGCCAACACATCCACAACAAACCATTGACACACAGAAGGCCGCAACAACAGAACACCAATCAATGACCAACAAAAAGCAAAACTTAAGATTGGTCAGGACTGAGTTTCTGCTGCCTGTCCCTCAAGTAAGCCTGGTCCTTCAACGCTTCGTGCGCTTCGTGCTCTGGGGTTGAAACGCGCGCACGTAGCACCTCCAGGTCCTTGTTCAGCTTCACCTTCAAGTGCTCCAATGTGGCCTCCGCAACGCGGGCCGCTGCCTCAGCCTCCTTGGCTTCTACCTCCTTTTGCGTCCGCGCTTCGAATGCCACAACAACATTCCTGGCTTGAATCCAGAGCGCACAAAGCCATCGGTATCTATTCTGAATCACGACAAACACCTGACACACATAAAAGCTCAGACTGAAACAAACAGGGCGCTTCAAGAAAGAAATGTCGCGGAGCTCCACTGGCGGCACTGTGGTTTGCAGCAAGTGATCAATCTCCGGGTCACTGAATCCAGTCATAAATTGCGAGAGGATGGCATCCTTGCAATCATCAAAATCACTCCTTGCAACCTGACTCTCCAGTTCTCCCATCACGTGCAAGAAGAAGCCGCACGCTCCATGCAAGGATTGCGCGTCTTTCAAACTCCACGTTTTCCGCAGTTCCACTGGCTGCCTGTCCCAGTCGCCTGTAAGACGTTGCAAGAATAGTTTGACCTTGGAAAAAAGAAGAGTGCGGGCCATCCAAACACATAACAGGGATGTTACTGTTGCTCTGAACAAAGGTAGACAAATGATGAAAAATTGTTGTCTGACAGTGGGGCCAAGGGTCCAGCGCATCATCTGACCCATTTGTCAATTGCTCGTTCCAGGCGTCCCAGCAGCCTGTACCAGAGCTGAAGCCCCGGTTGAACAAGTTCTTCGCCAGGATCTCATGGGAGAGCCAGCGTCTCATTCCACGCGGCCGCACTTCAGCTCGCAGCGCGGCGGTAACCTCCGGGGAGATTCGCTCCTGCAAGTTGGAGACAGCAAGGGCCTCCTTCTCTCCAATCGAGAACGCTCGCATTATGAGTGATGCGTTGCGCCACTCCTGGGGCAGCTCAAGAGCTTGCTCATTGGGTGGGAGTAACTAGTAACTACAACTAGCAGCACCTTACAGTGGCCTCCACCTCGACTGACAGTGACTTCATAAGCACGAACCAGTAGCGAGAACTTCTGATACTGATACCTGAATTCATCCCAAAAACACCCGTCTAATCAAAAAGTGGGACGCGTCGAAGATGGGACCAGAATGTCTTTGGGCCAAGCAACCACAAAGTCCGGCTGGGATCCAGATCGCTCGATGATCTCCAGTTGGCGCAGGAAGTTGAAGCAGTTCGGTGCCTTGCGTGTGCTCGTGCTCCCCATTGTGATTCCTGCGCTCGCCAGGTTGCGTAGACATGAATAGTTTCCACATTCTTTGCGACGGGCTCTGTTAAACTAACGTCGTCCGTCCTCGGTTGGTGAAGACCTTTTCCTTTGCGCTGGAGAAGCGCAAAGCGGACACATAAACTGTGGACGCAGAGTCCTGCCACGCGGCAACACGTATGCACAAAAATGGCTGCGTTCAACAAACATGAACACCATCTGATTTTTCGTGGGATTCATTGGCCCAGCCTTGAAGCTTGTTGTCAGATCATCCAAACTTACACTCAAGCACCTCACTGCCTCCAAGCAAATGAGAAAACAAATGGATCGCCGCCAGCCCTTGATGTAGGCCAGACTGAAAGGGCCCAGTAGATCACCTGACAGAACGTCAAAGGCTTTGCCACATGGTTCAGGGTTGCGTCTTGAAAAAACCTACTCAGCGCACACCATGAAAAATTGCAGCAGCAAAACACTATAAAAGACTCCATTAGTTCCTCGCAACTACAGTCAATCTTGTCATCAGGGTTTTCGCAAACAGAAACAAACATTCGAGCGCAGCACCATCCAAGAGCGGCAAGCAATCATACGGGTCGTCCAAGAATTCACAGTCCGGCTTGCACACTGCTAGCCGTTCAGTCCCCGGCAACGCACTGTTGGTCCTAAACCTAGGCGGCACAATCGCAAGCTGCAAAAAGGGAGACGACACTGGCGAAAATGTCCTGATCTGAGCAAACCACCCCTCCATGAGGATAAGCTCTACCAGATTCAACGCTTCTTCTGGCTCGGCATAGCCAGCGATACCGAAGTCCGTCCTGTGGCCATGTCAAAAAAGGCCCACAAACACTAGTGAACGGCGCTCTGTCCTGCAAGAGAGGTTCCATGGTCTGACGCAAAATTCCCCACCCAGTAGTTCACCGCAATAATGAATCCTGCAAGGCTTGCAACCCGCACCTTGCAAGAAATCTAGACTCCTATACTAAGCCCATCTCTTGCCTTGGGTCAGGAGGAAAAGTTCCGTCGATCCATTTTGCGAAGCCCATCAACTCGTCCTGTCAATGAATTTGGAACCAGGCGACCTGTCTGAAATTGTTGGCAAGCAGAAGAGTTCCTTTTTGAATGCGTGAAATAAACACTCAGCAAACAGAGTCCTGGGACGTATATTTCTTCATGAGAAACCGATCCGGCCCACCCGCCGGAATAACGTTGTCCCGAAACCTGACTTTAGTTTGATCAGTCGCTGCTTGAGTTGGGCTGACTGACTCACTCGCACCGTCACAAAATAAGTCGGGCACCAAGACATGATCTTGGAGACATGTTCCGGGCGACAATAAGTCCTTAGGTCCTTGGAGGGCCCCCCCCCTCCACTTCCAGACTTTCGCTTTCTAGGCAGTGTTTTGGGCAACATCTCAAGACAAGGACACTTGATTGAGACAAACAGCTGCGGAGAGGTACACACAACTATGACCCACGCGCTCAAAGTGTACATCAACTGTTTGAAGACATAACAGCCGGCTGGTGAATTGTCGTCGCTTTTCTACTTCCATGACTGCGCTCCTAGAAGCCGTCGGTGGGCAGAAACACCCACCTAAGATTCTGGCTAGCTTGCAAGCTAGCCTATCGCTCATAGCGATGAACCTCCGCAAACACCTTTTCAGCTTGGAAAACGCACTTGTACAAGTTCTCACCCATGTTCCCGTTCCACATCCAGTCACCCAGAGTCGCGCGACACATCCCGCACTCAAGCTGCAAAAGTTCTTGTTGTTGGATGGAAATCTGTTTCAAAGTGTCCAGACCCTGGGAGGTGTCATAACACGGCTCGCGAACGCCCAAGTCTTGCAGGCCCATAGCCTGCACATCCCCCCCACTTAGAGGGGTCTCTGGATAGGATTCTGCCTTGCAGCAGCTGAATGGCGAGGTTTTGCACTGGGACGAAGTGCGCCTGAATTCCAAAGATGTTCAGGACCTTCACAGCTGTTTCCCTCACATTCTCTGCATGGTCGGGGTTTTTGC